CTCCACCCACACAGGTGTGTTGGGGTAGAATTATTTTGACTTGAATTTCCCCCTCCCTGTTGAGAGACGACTAAACTCTCCAAGGACAACCACCTCTTCACCTATCCCTACATCTGTAGTCCGCACAGGTGCGATCTTTAACGGGTACATCAAAAGAAAATTGTGAGGCAATTGACCAATCCTCAATTATATTTTTCATTTCCTCTCAGGAGGAGAAGATACGGCCTTGTTGCAACGGAAATTCCATCGTCTTATTTATAAAAGTAAGGGACTCGGAATAGGTAAGAAAGGGCAGCTGAAATCAAGGTAGCGGATGCTAATGCTTGAGATAGTAATCATTTTTTTCCGCTACTATATACAGAATTATTGTTTGTTTATTTGTTTGTTATTGTGTTCTACTTCTAGTAATAAGGCGTTGATAGAGGAACCATGATCATAGCGCGTATAAGACATACAGGTTGTGAAGAGATGCGGGAGTTTTGCTCAATACTGGCATGGCACAGTTGCTGGATGGTATTGCAACGTATGGTTGCCAAGTTGGCTGGTATGGCGAACGTTTTCTCCTTTACTTTCATACCTTCCGCATGCATATTTCAAACACATACTCCATATTAATGAATTCAACCCCCCCAAAAAAAACATGCTCCATTACCACCTCCGAGTGATGCACCAAGGCCGAGTGCTACTACATGATGCAATATGGTCTGGTGGTCAAGAAGTCACTCGGTGAGGGAGAATTGATCGGTTGGTTCATTCTGGCGGCAGTAACTCCTGTTCTCGTGTGTAGAGAGGGGGAGATGAGATGGAGGAGGAGGTGGCTCTCCTGGCTCCTGGGTTGCATCGGTGTGGCGGTGTAGCTAGTGATGGGCACGAGACTTGAAAGGTGATGTGACAAGATAGGACAGGACAAAACTAGCAATAAGGTTCTTGAGACATTTTTTCTGACTGTTCCTTACTACTCGACATTCCTCAATAATGCGAATAGCTAGCTCCAGGATGTACGTAAATGAACAAACCAATCGACCAAGAACGAGCTCAGGGCTAGGGCTCGGTCACAGACCGGTCCTCTCCTTGCACGGCTTGTCGAAAAATGTTGCCCACGCAAAAGCTGGTGCCAATGGTGTGGCTTTCGCTCACAGACCTGTTTATATTTCTTTTCAATTAATCGATTCCTCACCGAAACTGCGACCCTCTGCTGTACGGTGGGCAGCGTCGACAGATGAAGGGATAGCTCATACACTCTCTTTTTTACTATATATTTCACTGTCTCTGACATCAAATGAGATGACCAAACAGCCGCGAGGCAGCGCGAGTACTGAGTGGTGGTGAGGACGGGCTCCCGGGAGTATAGGGTTTCTGGTATCTACTGAAGACAACGTGTGCATTACTACGGCGTATTTCGGAATGCTTCCCTGCCGTGCTTGGGGGATCAAAGTGCGGAAATTCCTAGAGTCGCGTTGAGGAGCAGCGCGTCTGTGTGTCCTTCTGTGTTTGCCCGTTTCAATTTTGCAAGTACTGGCTTGGCTGGGGTTCCAATCTGGGCGCTTGCGCGCGGGCGTCATCCCCCCACCAGCTCCCTATCTCCTAGTTCCACCGGTTGGGGACAAATAGCGATTGGTCTCCTGTGACCTCACGAGGCGCTCCTGTTCTTCAAAAGCCATCCTCGATGTTTGCCATTGCTCGTTCCCTCTCTTTCTCCTCATACTCCACCACGTTTAGGAAGAGCGTGAGAGAGGGTTTTCACGGGTCATTGTCTCTCATGAGCAGACTTATAAACCCCCTGGATGCCCCCCCACCCGCACGACCCGGCATAATTTTTGCATGCATCATATCGCCGGCCGTGGAGAGATTACAAGGGCGTAAGTAAGACATCCATCTAATATCAGATTTCCAGGTGGTGGTGGTGGTGCTAGGTCTTTATTCTCCATGGACAGGACATTACAATGAGAGCTAGGCCTGGCATCACTTTCAAGCTCTTGTTCATTGAACTCGGGTGATTGGGGATTAGGAATTGAGTACGCAAAACGACCACCATCAACCTTGCTACCGGTCGCATTGTACTCAACGCACATATTCCCCAAGTCCTCATGACTTTATTGGGGAAACTATCAAGTCGCTTCAAACGAGTAACCGGGTTGAAGCATTTTTCCTGTGCTGGGCGTCGCCTGGACCTTACAGACGTCTTCCTAACCTTCGGCGTTTAGGTTAGTATATATTCCTTCAATCCGCATCCCTTGAAAAACCTACCTTAGATTATTACAGCAACTCTCCCCGCTCTCTGCAAAGTCAAAGCAGAGAACTGAATCTTGGATGGAATCCGACTCATTTTCAATCTTTCCTCACGCCCCATCAATGGGCAATCTTTGCAACTCATTAGTACCCGTTCATATCTGTTCACCAGTCCGCTTTACTTACTGGGAATAGATCAACCCGCCTTCGCCACATCCCATCTGCTGCAATCGAAAGAACAGACCGCTCTGCTCCAGCGGAACTCTACGGTAGGTCAAGTATTCAATCTTTGGGTCTTTCTCCGACCCGGGGATGCCTACCGTATGGGCGTGGGACCCTGCAGCGGTACGTGGGAACAGGTTGTCTCATACCCGTGGAACAAAAACCACCCATTGGAGATCTGCAATGCCCCAGATCTGAGACAAGGTATTGCGCATCTCCCGATTACCCCGCACGTGCAAAACCACAGGCTCACGGCACCTCTAATGGGTCGCATCATGCGCCTCGGCCCGAGATCCCGACCATGAACCTGTGGCACAACCCCCAAAAGCGACTGCACCAAACGAAACACAGATTCCATTAAACACCAGCCAGTGCTCAACCTTAGAACCTAGATAGCAAAAGGCAGAAGTGAAGCCGTCAGCTGGGTTGTTTGGGGGAAGTACCGGGAGACGTCACTCCTCACCTGGTACGCCACATGAAGTGATATTCTCAAGTAGATTGAAGGAGACGATGCCTGAAGTGACTGCAACTACTAACTTTATTGATGATTGTCTCGAGAGGAGAAGCCTCTCGTCTAGCTAATATATTTTGCTGTGGCTACCTTACTAGCCTACATCATACTTACATGACTTCTCGCTTATCTGGACACTACTCCTCAGCCTCATTCTCAGCCTCGTTCTCAGCCTCTAACATGTTCTGATGCCGATACACGAATCCTGCAATGCCTCTGCCAAATCCCTGACCTTATTCAGGGTTAGGGTTCTCCACCTCTTCTCAGCCTCAGCGCCTAGTGCCTATCCCTTACGCTATTAAAGCTGCCAACTTTTTGCAAGTACCATGTCTCAATTCTGTGGCTTGCGTGCGAAGCTCGCCAGGTGTGAGTTACCATGTCTCGTGTTGACACCACAGCTCATTTTTTATTTTTATTTTTTTCACTCACGGCGCTGTTGGCAGAGGGTGGTAATATCAATATCAATATCAATGGGGCAGCCATCATGTCTTGCGCACATGTCTTGCGCACTACCTGCAAGCCGCTGGCCGTCATACAAGTATCCCCCGGATGGTATCCAGTGGAGGAGGCAGGACCGGCTAATAGGTTTGCAGGGGATCCAAATCCTGCAAGAGGCTCTTCATCTTGGCGGTATGCAGGCGCGGTCGTACTGCTTAAAAACGCGACTGCCTGCGGAAGTTGCGGGAGATTAAAAAGTGTGTCTTTAATCCCACCCCACAGTTGCAGAGAGCGTATCCAGCCTCGTCCTCGCTCTCACCGCACCAAGCGCCAAGAGAAAAGACGATAAGGCTGACAGGGGTCTTCTTCTTTTCCCGTCGGCATGGTGGGGAAAACCTTGACACGGAGTGCCGCGACACTTATGTACTAACACATACCAATTATGTGCAAAGAGTGGTCTAGGACGAGGAAAAGCACTTTTTTTGACCATATGTACAAGCGACATTGTCCCAGCCACAAGATTTTTACAACTCAACAACGAAGAATGATTTAAAGATCTGAGCAGATAGGATGATAGGGCAAATGAAAATGAAAGTGAGTAGATCTCCCTAATGAAATTAAAAATATGTGTGGTGGTTGATGAGCCATAAGCGGTCAAACTGGGGGTGTACAAACTACTTACATGTAGGCACATACATGTACTTACTCCGTGACAAGGCTTCCCCCACCATGCATACTCTTCTTGTACATATGTACGTACTTGCGGCTGAAAATGGCGAGGGACTCTACCCTCCGTGCCTTGACAGACAGGGCTGTGTGTTGTTACGCGAGCGAGGATCCTCGGATGATGATAATTCGTGGTTGCCTAAACGAACGTTCAAGCCTAAACGGCCCGACCCCACGTCGCACACCCACTGTCACACACCCACTGTGTAACAGCAAATTGTCATTGTCGTTGTCATTGTCATTGTCAGTGCAGTGTCAGTGTCAGTGTCGGTAAATTGTTATTGTCATCCTGGCCAGTCGATGGGACGAGGAGAGCGCCGTGGATAGAATTGCATAGAGCTATGGCCACCGGCGAGTAGACACGGTGGGAGGAGGACGCGGGGAGGGAGGGTGGGTCTGTCCATAGCTTGGATCGACCTGAGGAGAACAGACACGGATATTGCTAGTATGGGTGGGGGATGGCTCGGGATGATCCGGGAGAGAGGATCATCTCCCCTTCCTCCCCTCATTCTTCCTCTTCTTCCCCTTCTTTTTCTTCCTCCTCCCCCCTTTGAAAGGATCGGGGTGCTGTACGTCAACATGCACATGCACATGCACATCTACCGTGTGCTATTTCCAAGCTGCGCCCGAGTGCTTGTAGAGCATATCAGGCTACCGTGCAGAAGGAAGGCGCACCCGCCAGTCGCCTCCTCCAGGATACGTGTATATATATGTTATATCTACCACCGACAGTTGCGAGCTCTCTCTCTCCCAGAAATCTCTCTCTCAGTTCTCTCTCTCTCCCCCCCCCCCCCCCAAACGCCCAACCGCCATCACAGTCCATACAGACAGACATCCCCCCTCGATCTCCTTCTTCTCCTACCGCACCGCTAGCATGTCCTCCACTGATCATCCGTCGGCAGTAAGCCCACCGGCGCTTCCCCCTACACCCCAGCAGTCCCGCTTCCCCCACACAACGCATGTGTTCTTCCACCCAGCGCTTCTTCCAGCACGCCCGGGGCAGCCCAACCCGGCCGGATACGAATTCATAGATACAATGGAGACCCAGCCGTTGCATGGGCTCCGGCGCGACTCAGCACTTCTTCCAGAACGCCCGGCCCGGCCCAATCGTCGTCGCCGATACCCGTCCATTCCACTCCAGTCGCTCCCACCCAGCTTGGGCACCCCACACGGTCCCCCCGCGGCGGCATCCTCTCCCGTGCCGGCACCCTCCCCCGTGGTGCCCTCCTCCCCCGTCGCGCCACCGAGCAACACCGCGGACGCCACCCGCCCCCCCCCCACGAGCACCGAGCAGACCACCGCCACAGCACTTAGCTTCCTCCCGCCGCCGCCGCCGCCGCCGCCCCCGCCGACCCCCTCCACCACTTGCCCACCACCGCCCGCCGACAGCACAGGGCCCACACCGCCCGCGCCCGCCACCACCGTCCCCACCGACTCCACCGCCTGCTCAATCCTCCTCTGCACCCACTCGTTATCACGCGCGCGCGCCCCGCGCAACCACCGCATCGCCGTCTTCCGCGCCCACCCCCGCGGCGAAAACACCACCGACACAGCCCTCTTTCTTTCCTTCCGCCGCATCTACAACGCCGAGCTCCGCTCCTTTTGGCAGCGCTTCTTCTCCCTGCGCGGGCTCAAGTACATCAGCATCGTCGAGGTGCGCCGCCGCCCCACCCATCCGCAGGAAATGCTGTCGATACTGACTTGACCCCCCCCCCCCCCCCGTAGTACACACACCCCGAGGCACCGGTGCTTCTGCTGCTCGACGCGGCCTCGCGCAACAGCATCATGTACGCCTTCAACAAGCCGCACAAGCTGCGCTCGGGCGGCGCCTGGGTCGACTGGGTGTTTGCGCTCAAAGCGCAGCCGCCGCGCCGCTTCGGGCTCGAGTTTGTGCAGGGCTGGGACGCGCGCAAGATTGTGATGCTGGCAGCGGTGCCGTGGGTGGCCAGCGTGTTTACGGCTGTGCTGTGGAGCGCGCTGATGGGCGATGTGCAGGCCGGCATGGCGGTGGCGAGCTATATATTGACGGCGAGCGGAGGTGAGTTTTTCCTTCCTCTCTGGTGCGCGAAGGGTGTTCGGGGCTGATTGGGGGGGGCGGGGGGTAGGGGTGCTGGCGCTGCTGGGCATTGTGAGTACGTTGGAGGGGTAGTGGTGGTGCATGTGGAGGGGGGGGGCTGGGAGATGGATTTTTTTCTGTAGATATCGTTGTGTTCTGTCTTTATTCCACTTTTGCACCCTTGGATAAGCGTTTTCAATGTTGCTCATTGAGGTACAGTGGTTGGCAAATGTAATATTTAATATTGAAGAATAATTATAATACTTCTTCACAATTCACGACGGCCCCACTCCATGAACAAATGCATCACGGCACCACATCCGCCTCCCCGCGACAGACTACAGCGGTGGAACCGCGCTCTCTGTCCGTCAACATGGGCCGCGCAACCAACTGGCTATGGAAATTAACCCCCGCCCTGGAAGAGGGTGATGGCGCCTGTGCCCGCACTCCCCCCCACAGCACGCACGTCGGTGGTGTTGGAAGGGTTTGTCGATCATCACCCCCCGCCGCCGCCCTCGCTCCCCCACTCCTTGCCCTCGTTCCCTCACCTTGCGGACGCGCGCTGGTGGCATGGGCTGAACAAAGAAAAGACCTGGATGAGTGAGAAGGGGGCAAAAAAAAAGATAAGGCCCCCACATCGAGTGATATTCTATGACCACAATACACGGCCGCCGATTTAGTACGCTGGGGTGCCTGGGCGGGGGGGTTGGCGGGTGGGGTAATATTTAGTGATATATGTTCGGAAGATGTTGGTGTTCTTGATGGACTTGCTTGGCTATAATGCGGAGGGCCCGATTTGTGTGCGGGTGTTCGTTTTGTGGACGGTGGAGCCGTGGCGGGCACCAAGAAAAGGGATTTTCGGCAACGGAAATTAATCTTTTGTGCCTTTTCCACAAGCGTCCCCGGGAGATGAATCAATTGATTCGTTTCCCGAAAGTGGCTTGGTGGGGAATGAATCAAATGATCCGTTTCCATAGCTGGTAGAGAGCTATTCAGGGGTCTTGTGGATAATTGTGATCCTAGGTAGACCGGGTGCACATTCTAGAATGAAAATCTGCGTAGGTTTATCTTCTGGCCCGTAAACCGGCCTGCACTCTCCTCACCTTATTTAATAATATTTTGGTCAAGCTTGAGATAATCAACCTGGTCCTTACACTCACACCTCTTCTATGCTAATAGGTACAGTAAGCGGACAGACCTCTTCCACGGTAAGTAGGTGGTAGTAAGACACAATGCTCGCACCTGGGGGGTTATCAATAATGTAATCGAACCAAACTATGGAGTCTCCTAGTTGTTACAGGCGCACCTAAGATCGAACCATAGTAACAGCGGGTATACATAACATTTGAACTTTCAACAGTAAGGACAACAATTGAGCATAGGACACAGTTCAATAACCAACACAGGGGCGGTAGCTTAAGTGGGTAACCTATTCATGAAAGGTAGACACATAGCAACAGTCCACCCCAACTTCTGAACGTTCGCTGTATGCGCTTCCCAGTGAGGAGCGTTCGTCGACAGGTATGGCTCTTGATCGGGCCGGAGCAGATTTCAACTGATAATCTTCGATTGTAGCTTCATGGTCCGCAGTTCAAGTGTAGTACTACATACATCGGATTTTCTTCCTTATATGCCTGTGTCACATTCCACATCCGCATAGCTACGTGACCAACCTCCTACTCGAACTACCTTCACCCATTGCCGAGGCCTGCCCACTAATCCACTGATGCTGAAGCGCGCTTTTCGCAGAGAACTAGAGCTCGGGTTAGGGTCAAGCATGGACCGCATAAAGTCCATGAATAAATCGCTGGCGCCGATTCGGCTGAGCGTCCGGATTTCCTTGAATGGGCACATTTCACCACGGCAATATGCTGCCAAGTCCCCAACATTAATGCTGTCATTATACCCCGCCGTCCCAATGGCAGATATCATCTTCATCCATATCGATAGCGCTTACACCTGTGGCGTACGAAAATGGTATCAATCCTGTCATGATCTGATAGGTAATCATACCCAGAGCCCACATATCCACACTCGAAGGGTGGCTTTCTGTGAAATCGGGGCTGAGGCCGATTGACTCTGGTGACTCGTATCTGTACTCCATCTCGATGTATGTATTGGTAATCAGCCTCCTGTATTGCCTGCGCCCCGATTCTCCGTTGCAGATATCTCCAAGCTTCATTCTCAGAGGTGATAGGGATGCGATGAGTACGTTCTGGGTATGGTAAACTAGTGTCAATATGTATTCCTAGTGAGCCCCAATATGTGGAAAGACTAACCGTTGGCGTTAGATTACCATGATGGATACCCCCTTGGTGCATTATATGGAGGGCTTCCAGAATCTGTCGAACAATAGTTTTACAGTTCCCCTTTGCCAGCTGTCTGTTTCTCAGCATATAGGTCTGAAGGTTGCCTTCGGGGAGGAATTCCATGGCGATAGAGAGGGATATTCCGGGCTGGCCCTCGTGCCAGCCATAGAACTCAACAAAATGCTCAGTATACTACCATAACAGCGATAGGTCAGCCAACGGACTCACGCGCGTGGACCAGCCTCAACGCATTACCTCTCGCAACGTAATCATCGCCCTCAACTCTCTGATGAAAAGGTCTTGAAAGCGATAGTGACCGGTTGTTTTCACCACCCGAACGTCAGTCCTTCGGTGAGCATCGCGCCGGGTAGAGTCACGTAGCCGCTGGAGCCGAACCGATCTGAATTGACTACCTCCGAGCAACAAATCGCCGTCTGCCCACAGCTCGAAATCCCCATTAAAATGGTGTGTAACTGTCTGGTCACCGAATTCCGCGCTGTACTTGTATTGGGCAAATTCCTCAGATAGAACAAGGTCAGTGTGCCATTCTCTGCTGGCCGAGGGGGGAGAGCCAGATAGCCGCACAACTATGCGGTGTGGGCAGCACCTCAGCAACAGACAAGCAATACCTGTACAAGACCAAACATACCTACGGTGGCTGCATCCGAACCCCGCCTTAGAGTATCGCAACTACTCTGCACGCTGACAGCTTTATCCATCCCCGCGGGGTTCGGCTCGCCATCGATATCCTGAAGCGCACCCTCCTCGAGAACCTCGTCGCCATCAGGCTGAGATAAGCGGGGGCTATCTAGTACCCGCCGCTGTCATGTTAGCACACCATACGCAGCTTCCGCACCGAGGGGCACACACCATCAACCTCACCCACCGCCTTCATGACCCACCCGCTGCAAGACACGGCAGGTGTCGCACTGTTCGCCGTAAGATACCGTCCCAGCGCGCTCATCTCGCCCTCAGCGCTCCTGGCTCCACGCCAGTCAGTGGTTCCCAAGGATGAGCCGTCCGCGTACTCTTCCATCTCGTACTCGCGATAACACGGGGGCAGAGAGAACAAGCGTATGTCCTCCAGGTGGTGCGCAACGTGGCTGTAGAACCGCCCGGCATCCCTCCCGAACGTCTTGCGGCAGAGCGGACACTCACCCGTCGAGGTCGCTCCGCCGCCGCCTTCCAGCGGGCGTCGTAAGCATGCCGTATCATGCGTGATCCAGGCCCTCTTCGATCTATAGAACATGCCCGAGCTGGGGCAGCGGGCGCGGATGCACGTGTATGGCGTGAGGTCGGCAAAGATGTATTTTCTGTACACAGCAACGTCAATCGCAAGACGGGGGGGTATCGGGGAGGGCTGCGTCCATACCTCCACCTATGGCCTTGCCAAGTGGGGCGCTGGTTCAACCCGCAAAACCTGCATTTGAAGCCGGACCCATATTACGAATGTTCGGGAACTGGGGGGAGGAGTCGTCTCTTGCTCGGCTCCGACAACACAGAGCATATGGTCGACCGCGACAGGCTAGAGACAGAAGGCGGCGGGGCGAGGTCCGTGTTGACGGGGACGATCGCGGGCTGGGAGACGACGACTGCTGGAAATGGGTCGGGGGCGTGAATCGAGACTGGTGGGAGGCTGTGGGGAGCGGAGCTCCTGAGTCCGGAGTCCTTGAACGTGGTGGCGACACCCGGCGATGGGAAACCTTGCCTCTGCTCCATTTCCTCCTCCTCCTCCCCCCTCTCCTGGTCCAGCCTCACCAGCCTGACATAGCACTCGGCATTTCCCCTTGCCAAGACCTCGATATCAAGCTCCTCTCTGGCGTGCGGGAACCTATCTCTGATGTACTGCTGGTATATTTCCCAGTGAGTGCCCATCACAGTGATAGGGGATGCTGCTGGCTCCTCCCAGAAAGCCCTCTCCAAGGCATCCTGATCCTCCGAGACATCCTGATCCTCCGAGGCATCCTGATTCTCCAACGCATCCTGGTCATCCAGCGCATCCTGGTCCTCCAGGTCATCCTGATCCTCCATTCCTTCCCGTCGGAGTTCTCCTTCCGGACGCTCCTGCATCCACCTGTGGAGTCGGACGTTCAATAACCCCTCGCGCGGCGTATCGTCCAACACACTCCCCGTCGTGGAGGTATCGCAGGACCCCCCATCTTCCTCGTCTCGGTACGCTGGCGGCAGCGCAAGCAGCCGGATGTCCTCCATTTGGTGCGCCACTTGGGAGTAGAAGCGCCTGTGTCGCGACCAAACCATTTGGCGCACAAGGGACACTTGTCTGTCGTGGTTGCTCCTGTGCCCTCGTGTGCCTCTCGTAGGCATGCCATATCGTGCGCGATCCAGTCACTCTTCTTGCCATAGAACACATGTGCACCCGAGCTGAAGCAGCGTCCGCGGATGCACATGTATGGCATCAGGTCGGCAAAGACGTGCTTCCTAGAGATTTCAATGGCAATGGCACTGGGTTAGTCATGGACGCGGAAGACGTGGAATAATCTCAGGGAGGGTTGCGTTCTTACCTCCACCCGTGACCCTGATCAGCGGGGGACTGAATCAGTCCGCAAAATGTGCACTCGAAACCGGGCCCATATCGTGAATATTGGGAACCCGGGGGACGGGGCGTCTCTTACTTGGTTCAGATGACACAGAGCAGATGATTGAGCACGACAGGCCGGAGACGGAAGGGGGAGCAAGGGAGGCGACCGTACGCTGGGGAATGGTAATAGTTTGCGGTGCATCGAGAGGGTGGGTCGAGGGTGGCGGAAGGCTGTGAGGAGCGGAGCTCCCGACTACTGAGTCTTTGAACGCGGCCTGAAACGGGGCTGGTGGGCGGCTGTGAGCAGCGGAGCCCTCGATTGCTGAATCCTTGAACGTGGTGGCGGAGCCCTCGATTGCCGAGTCCTTGGACGTGGTGGCAGAGCTCTCGACTCCTGAGTCCTTGAATGTGGTGGTGACACCCGCCGACGATAAACCCTTCATTCGTTCCAGCGTTTGATGGCCTGTTTGAGCCTCCATGACAGACCCCTCTAGCACGGGTGGCAATTGGGCACTAGGAGGAAGAGGAAATCAATCGTAAATGTTGGTGATGATGGCATTGTATATATATTAAGCACTGGGGAGGGGCGCACCAACATTTCTCCGGCAGTCTCTCTCGCCTTCTGCTCCTTCTCCTTATCTTCACGCTGGCTCAACAGCCTATCAAAGCAGTCGGCATTTCCCCTTGCAAATCCTTCGATATCCAGCCCTCTAATCGCTTGCGGAAACCTGTTCTGGATGTACTGCTGGTATACCTCCCAATGCTCACCCCTCACACAGGCCGGGCGTGCTGGTGTCTCCTCACGGATGGCCCCTTCCCGGCGATCCCGCTCCTTTCTCCTCTCCATGACGTTGTGAAGGGTGGACAGTACGTCAAAAAGCGCATCGACGCACTCGCGCAACTCCCCGATGGCAGCATCCGATGTTTTCCACTCACGTTTCAACACGCTACCCAAGTGGATACGCCCTAGCCACCTCATCGAGGGATACTCGGAGGAGCCTACGGGTGTAGTCGTTGCCAACTACAAACGGGTGTCAGCCAGTCACCGTGGAACGGGAGGAGGTGTAGGGGGCGACCGATCATATGTACCTTTCCGAAGGCAGCCATCGAGGAGACCGCTAGCAAAAGACGCAATGAGTAGGACCGTGGGCTCCCTGAGGTATATAACCTCCTCCAGCACCTCATCCAGTACATTATCCCCCGCTGGGGGGGTGTTCTCGAAGCCGCGGGTCCATAGGCGGAAGCGTCCGAACTCGTGGCAGGGTGGTTTTCGGTAGGGATACCTGGAGCGCTTGTCGGGGAGCTTGGAAAGCTCGCGGATGTGGGTGGTGCATGCAGTGATGAGGTTGCTACCAATGCGCGGGGCCTCGGGGGGAGCAGACATGTTGGGAAGATGATATTTCCGCTGCAGGACAGCCAGACAGGCAGACAGCCAGACAGCCAGACAGACAGAGAGACAGAGAGAAAGATGGATAGACAGACAGACAGGCTCTACACTGGAGGTGGGCGGTGGTGTGTTCCCGAGATTTGATATTCATCTGGGCGATCCTTAGATAAGCACTTGAGCCCTCGATCACGGCCAATAGGAACTGTGGGCATGTGCCAGATCTTGATTGGCTTGTTCGCTGAGGGTGATCGCAAGACAAACACCTCACTTGCCTGCCAGTCGCTCGTTATATACCAAAACCAGAACAAGAAGGCTCATTTATATATATTAACGGCATCCAATTTGTACCTTTCCTCCCGCTCCAGGTGAAGTGCCCCCCCGGCCAGCACTTCTATCCCGGCGGAGAGACCGAAACACCTGCGCCAGCATGGGCGACATCACCCTTGGCGTTCTTTCCCTCACTGTGTTGGTGTTTCAAGGTTACAAAAACGTCACCACTTTTGTGTCAAACTACAAATCCTACGATGAGGACTCACGGCAGGCGATGCGTAGGGTCCTTGTCCTCGAGTCGGTCCTGAAGCAGAACCTGGACCTGTTCCTCAGCAGCTTCGTCGAGCAGAGTGTGCGCCGTGCCCTGCTGGATGACCTCAAGAGCCCGCACTGGAAGGAGGAGGAACTCAATGCGCAGCTCGAGAACAAGCTGGGCGAGAACGTCGAGGCGATCAAGTGCGCCATCGAGAATTGTTTGATCACCCTGGGGAAGATCCACGATTCACAGCTGCTCTCGCAGAGATAGCTGGCCACGGCGGCAGGAGCGCCGGATTCCCCCCCACCGGTGCTGGTGGCCAACGCCGACAACAGACCAGTCCTGGACCGGACCCGACGATTTCCGGGCGCTGCAGCAGTCTGTCGACCAAGGCAGGTCGACCGTGGTCGACCGTGGGATCGTGCCACTGGATAGTGAGTGCGCATTGTACTGTAGTTGTAGACTTCAAGTAGTGTTCGTAGTACTTAGTATTAGTGCCCAGACCCAACGCAATCTGTCTTTTTTGCTTTTTATAAGTCGCGTAACCTTCTCTTCCCTTCCTCCCCCCGGCCCCATCAAAAAAATGTGGGATAGAGACATTGAGAAGGCACTCGACAAGTACATGACTCTTTCTAGTACTGCCTTGGTTGACTGTCAAATCGCTAGGAATAGAGGCGACAAAGTCTTCACTCAATCATTCGGTCAAAAAGGTAATGGCTAACTGCTCCTTATTAATGAACTTTTAACTGACATCAATAGGCAATATGATTGAAGTTTTTTTCCAGGTTGATTTGGATACCCCACCCTCAAAGAAAAAGACATAAACACTACACGGAAAATCTTTGCAAGAGATTGAAACAGCTGTCAACCAATACCCTGCAATCGACCTAACTCCAGGAGCATTCTATGTTGCTCTCGATTCCAAATTCCACCGTCTCTTTATTTACTTCAAAAAAGGTTTGGAAATAGTCTACGGGCCACAGATTGGGCAATGGGTTTTGGATTCAACAACTTGAAATATTGATGCATACTACCAAATTCACCCCTCCGACATACCTAAGGACAAAAGACATCTGAGCTGGAAAGATTGGCTTCTTTCTAATCCTCATTTTTGTTGGGTACCTCGGTCGAGAGCTGGTGTTTACCATTATGGATGTTGGATAGAATTAGGTCATACAGAAAAAGGGTCTTGCATTACTAAAGATGTTGCCAACAGTCCTTCCCAAATTCAGCCTGTCCCTTCTGATCTCTTTAAATCATTCTGTAATATTACCAAAGCTCAGAGATCGTTGTTGGGTGCAGTCGACAAGGAGGTCAGGGATATGACTGAAGCGATGATCAAGGTTTTCATGATGGGAACAAGAAACAGTGGATTACAGATGATAATGATTGCTTTTCTTTGAGAGCATGTTTGATCAATGTATTCACTGAACCTCATTATGATGCCGGTGATCTTAATAATGGTTGGGCTTGTATTGCACCAATGGGGGAGTTCTGAGGAGGTGACTTGTGTATTAGGGAATTGGGTAGAAGATTTAATTACCAATCCGGTGGTATTGGTTTTATTAGTGGTAGTCATTTGGAGCACTGTACAGCTAAATGGGAAGGGATTCATTTTAGCTTAGTGGCCACCTTTCATGAAAACCTGAAGCAGGAATTTGAGGCTATGAAATGAGTGAATTAGTGTACATAGAAAAATAACTTGAATTGACGTTGTCTCAGGGGGGCGAGTAGCGAGCATTCCGCAGGGTACGAAGGGGGTAGTAGGGGTCGGTGTGGGAGCCTGTAGTAGGGGTCCTGAGGGTCTCTAGCGTTGGTGAGTGTCAATGGGGTAAGGGAAGCAGCGGCGCGGTGGTCTTCTTGAGCAAAGAAGAGCAAATAATATTATATCGTAATAGACAGTGTAGGTACAGAAGACGTTGTGTAATAAAAGAAAGAAAAGAAAAAGAACAAGAAATGAGAATGAAACCTCCTAATATACCCAAGGAAATCCCAAAGATGACAAATCCAAAGTGACTCATACACTTACGACCTACAGAACCCGATAGAACCCAATAGATCCTTTCTGACTAATCCATCTCCTCATAACCCAGGGTATTAACTAATCGATCTATGAAACGTTGACAGAAATAAACCCCTTGATAAAATAAATAAAGAAACTTGAAAATATTAACTGTTGGCTTATAATAGCCGATGTTAACGTATGTCTTTCAATTTTTTGTAGATAGTCAGACATATATCTAGCTGCTTCAAAGCTAGTTAAACCTGCCCATGCCAATGATTTCTGACATTCTCCAGCTTCAATAATACTTTCATCCAAACGGTTATGACGGTCAGTAATGTTTTGCTTTGCACTGTGAAATAATTAGAAATTGAATTTTAATAGAGAGCCTGAGATTAATTCATACCTGCTAAATACTTTTTCACGTTCGGTAGACATGGCAGGGGTTGAAAAGGTATCTAATGCCAAAATAGATAAACGGGGATATGATGGGCGGGTTTTAATCCACCAATGTATTGATTCTCTTATTTTGTGCCGGTTTTGAGAAACCCAAAACAAATATCGGTGAGCTAATCCTCAATCGAATCAGGGTGCAATCTTGGCTTTTCGAAAGTCCTAATTTTTTTTACAAGCAAATGAATTTGGATCCAGAGTACGTTTAGGTGATTCTGACGATGCTCAAGGTGCATCATGCAATACTATGCGTTTATACGACGTTTCCCATAAGGATTTGACAAATTCTTCTGCTTTGAAGGATTATTCTGGATGGTCGCCTCAACCAGATTCTGAGTCCTTAAAAAATTATCGATATCTGCGTACGAAAGAATTGCCCCACAAATTATCGGACTCAGTTGTTCAATAGAGTAGTACTTTTCTAGCTTTTGAACGTCAAGTTGCGAGGAGATTGCCAAAACATCAGATTCCAAATTGTCCACTGTGTAAGTGATTTGCCTCCTCAACGACTCGAATGAAGGATAGATTTAATATAGCGATCCTTGAGTACGATGACTCTGCAAAAATAATGTTTCATCCTAAAATGGCTTTAAAAAATTAAAAACCTGTTGTAAAATCAACCAATCACTTGTACATAATTGATTTTTTTCAAGTGTTGATTTCCAAGCTGTTGAAGTCTCCTGAATCATTTGGTGTACAAAAAATTCGATCGCATACATTAGCTTTAAAGCTCTTTCTATCCTATCATAATCACCAGTCCAACATGTGACATTTCCCAAAATCAAAGTCCTAGGTTGAGTTGAACTTCCTAATATAGTGGCAACTGACTGGCAAAATGCGTACCTTCTCTACGGGCTCTCATGTATCAAAACAGTTATATTCCGCATTTTGCCCATAGGGCCCACCTTGCTCCATCTCTCAATTTCAGAATTCTCTCGTTCAACTGTTTTTTTATTCTCTAAAGACAGCAATTGATTAAATTTTTTGCCTAAAGGAATACTTTAACAACCAAATTCAAAATATGTCCATAGCAACGAATATATCTTCAAATCTTTTGTGTTAATGTATTGTTGAACTGTAGACCGGCAGATTGTTTTGTGATATAGCTTTCAATGAATCGCAGTAGGGTAATATTATTAGATGCATTATACAAGGTAAAATAGCCAATCGAATTCTGGATCTGGAAATCTTGAATAACTGTCCAGACAATATTGCCTTGATTTTCTCCACTATGCGCACCCAAGAGTCGACGTAACCCAAGTAGTGCATGACATAGGTTCCCATCCTCATCAAGCCTATAACCAACTATTGCAAGCAAAGCCAAATTATTTGTTGATGTCCACATATTAAAACTGATGTGTATAGAAGAGATAGCGTTATTTAATACCTAGCGAATGGAATTTTTACTCTTTGCAAATGACTCCTGCACCCAACTGCTTACCGTGACAGACGATTTAGGCATAGCTTTACCCAAATCGGTATAGAATGATTGCTATACTCTTGGTCAGAAGAAAATTTCGTCAATCTATTGGTACTTTATATTCAACTTACCAAAGTGCATATATATATTAATAAAAATCTTAGACTTAGAGATGTAGCTTGTTGAAATGGAATATTATTTGTTACAATCCAACGTACATAGAGCTGTTTAAAGACGTGGCTATTGAATAAAATACTTGGTACTGTATTTACCGATACGTTGTTCAAGCTTGATGGACTACCATCTCCAACATCCATCCCAACGGCTGTTGTTTGTCTTTCCCAATTTTGATCAAATTGATAAACTTTTACCAAATGATTTATGGCATTTTTAGTTGTTGTATCCGCGTAGTAAACAGCCGTTTCTGGATTGGGGCCTGCTTGGGGTTTTAGTAATCCATAGTATTTCAACAAAATCAGGTTGTCTGTTCGTTTTAGATAGATTGCACCCCCAACGATCTCTCATTACACCATTCTGATCAGGACCCTAGAAGATTGATACATGCTTCCAAAGCCAGCTTGTTCGTTCCCGAACCTTTGGATGAAATATTGCCAGAACAAGTGAAATATTGAGAGGTAAACCTCTGGTAGTTGCCAATTGAGCTGTATCAGCTATTGAGGGCTTATAAAGTGAACTCTCGCCAGTTTGGAAGTTATTTTCATTGAAAGACATTCTAGTAGTGGAATGTCGGACAGGATTTTGAGGTTGCCCGGGAACGGTCGCCCCACAATTCCGGGCTCCGTTTCTATGGGTTGAACAGAATGACCTGAGTTCATTTCCATCATCAGGTATGCTCATACAGTGGGTCGTGGTCGTGATTGCGGGTGCGGAGGTGGTGGTTGGGGGCTGTTGAGTAGGGTAACTCACTGTGAGTCTTGGCAACCCATCCTGGTTCACTCCCGGCACCGCCACTCACCGGGGAGGTACAACGATCGATGACTGCATGGAACCGAACGCACCGTCTCGAGCCCACGATCATGCCGGCGAACGAAATTCAATGATGCCCCGTTTCCCCATCCTCTGCTTCGATGGAATACATAAATTTCGGATTCCGAGCTGCGGGTCACCGCATTGGGCGAATCCCAATTCTTGTCTCCACTGTGTCTTCTCACGCCAACTCGGATTCTGTACTTCAGGTCACCGCTTTACTAAGTTTCAACGCTCGTAACCCTAACTACCTAAAACCAGGTTTCAACCATCACCAAATACATATTGATGTATTTCATTTTTACCGAAGATTGTATTTTGTATACGTAACCAAACCAACTTTCAACGCTCGTAACCCTAACTACCCACATCTAGGTTCCAACCACCACCAAATACACATTCAAGTAT